ATAATATATTGTAATAAATCTAAGATATATATTAAATTCTTTTATTTTGCATAGACCTTTAACTAGAATTACGACAAAGCTGCCCTTGAAATACTAGGGTGGAGTTTCCAAGATATGACAGAATTCCTATAGACAGCAGTATGACATCAGAAAGTGCCTTATGATGGGAGTATGTGGTCTTTAGAGAACGGCTTTCATCTCGGAAACAAGGAACTCTTGAATTTCTATCAGCCCAATAATTCTCAATTCTGTGGTTTTGAACTTTAAACTACGATGTATTTATGACAAAGAGACTCCGATTGAGTATGCAAGGGTGGGGTTTCCAAGAAATGACAGAATTCCTATGGGCAGCATTATGACATCAGAAAATCATTATGCTGGAGGTATGTGTGGTCTTTAGACAATAGTTTCATCTCAGAAACAAGGAACTCTTGAATTTCCATCGGCCCGTAATTCTGGATTTCGTGGTTTGATGGAATGAGTCTATATCCATCCTGTCTCCTAAGAGTAGAAACTGTAACATGACATGAGGAAATTACTAATTCTAAAATGTACTTTGATTTCTGAAAGTTACGGACCACCATCCCCAGAAATGTTTCTTAATATATTGCACTATGATGAATTGGTTCACACACTGCATCAATCATCCATATCTATTCTCTAGACATTGAAATTGAAAGTAACTACAAATTAGCTTGAAACATGCGATGCATATGAAATAATGTTAGAGTACTTGAGATCAGAAATATCTTCAAACCCAAAGAAAATTTGACACACTTTTTGTTATATCTTTATAACTCAGCACAGAAACCTAGAGACTTTGAAGTAAAGATTTTGGCTTTATGAACCATTTTTATGAAAAGTACCTTGCATTGCTACATGTAATTGCATTTTTTCTTAGGGCACATTTTCCTGAAATCATAAAACTGTAAGGTCATAATAATGCATAGATATGTGTTCAAGCCCATTTCATTTGTCATTATTCCAAAATATGATTCCTTCCTTTCATTTATGATTCTATAATGATCTGAATTAACATATCGTACTGGCTTTGTCTGGCTATCCTCAAGAATTCTATTTTTATTCCAACTTGATTTGACTTCAATTCATGTGGTAAAACAAAATCACTTCATCTGTTAATTGTGATGAGTCAAGTACTTGATTAGAGTCGTTAATTTAGAAGAAGGAAATCCTGTACTAACCTTATAAATATAGATTTCACACCTGACTTAACACCATGTTAATCCTCTCACCTCTATGTTAATCTCTGTACCCCTATGTTAAGCCCCCTACCCTACTGAGCCTCTCAACCTACTTGTGGTCATTCTTATAAGCCCAACACCTGTGTCTTCAAAATCATTTTCATAATTTACCTTTTTACAAACTTAGGTTGACCAATGCAATAATCAGGAAACTGTCACAATTGACTTCTGGCTCATGTACAGGGCATATGTACCCCCCAAAATAGAACAGTTCAAAGTTTTGATCCATGGCAAATAAAGATTTACAGTCACAATCTTGAAAGCCTTTGCTCAAACCCAACATTAATTGTGAGTCTTTCCATGGATGATGGGGTTCATGGATTTAGAGTATTATGTAATGATTGTTTATTTATAGGAAAACTCAAAGATCTGGAAAGCAATCATAGTAGTATTACTGTCCCCCCAAATGATTTTCCTACATTTAAAGACTATTTGATTATGCAATCCTTCTACTTAAATCAAATGTTTGTTTTTCATTCTTCGAGGAGAAAGATTAAAATTGGGGTATCATGCAAGTAAAAGTAGTAAAATAAGATGATTAAACAAAAGGCAAAGTGAAAACAGGGATAGGAGGAACTGAAACTAGATAGGTAAATAATACCAAAAATAGTTAGATCAAGATCAGCTAGGTCACTGCCAAGAAAAAAACAATGAACAAAACAAAGGTGAGCTACTATAGCCTCCATTAATCATTCACCTTCAGGCACCGAACAGGTATTAACCATCAAGATCAGCTTAATAGAATTGCTGGTGAATGTCTGGTGTATTTACATGTTTAATGACTTTATACTAGTTCACACCAGACACAGTGAAACCTGTCTATAAAGACCAATCATGGGAAAAAAGTAAAATGGTCTTTATAACAGGTGGTCTTTATGTACAGGTTGCTTTATTACATGTTTCAGGGTGAAACCGTTTCACAAAAAGATGAGGTCTTTGTGGACAGGTGGTCTTCCTATACAGGTGTTCACTAAAGCAGGTTTGACTGTATATATTTGCATCATACCAGGTACCAAATATAATGTCTGATTGGAGCCAGAAGGGCATCAACTCTTACAGTATATGAGTTAAAGATAATACAAAGTTTCGGGAAATTCTGAAATTGGATGAATAGTAATTCTTTAATTTTTTTATATATTTGGATGCCCCTGTGGATGTATTATAAGCACTAACAAATTTAGCCCCTAAAACACTTCTGCTTTCGAGCAAAGTGAATAATCAAAATTTACCGGTGCTCCCGGTAAATTTCAAATATTTCAAATAGCGCCTAAGGCTATTTCATGGTAGCTGTGACCGTGTTAATCTCAGAATATGCAGTTCTGATCTATAATTTCCGAACAGGAATAGCAAATCGATTGGTTGTAGTCAAGAAACATTATTTAAAAGCTAAAGTAATATCAGTCTTGAGAGGGCGCTATACAACATTAAGAGTTTATTATTTACAATTTGATAACTCAAGACTTGATTTCAACCGCGACAACGATCATTGAATATTGTAGGATCGCATATGCTTCTATTATGTTCATTTGAACCAAATTCAAAACCCCATACCAAAGCTTTGTATTACCTTTAACACCTTTTGGCTTCAAACAGATGATATAGGCTATACCTTGCTACAGAGAAAATATGAAAAGGAAAAGGCCTTGCTCATGGACCCATGTGCAATGTCAGGGTTATAACACTCTGTATCCCTTACTAAGTGTTTAAACCACTCCTTTTTAGTCTTCAAAATCAACAATATCTGCTAACTCATTACTTCATCATCATGATCATGAAATACATAATTGCGGACCTATAATCAGATTACGGTGAAAATTATTTGAAGAATGCAATCTTTCATTTAGGGTAGTGGTAATACATTAGCAGTATAGAGTACAAAAACCCTGATAAATGGTTGTTTCCTCTCCCCCGTCAAATAATATTAATTATGATGCACCTGCCAGCAGTGTGATCATTTCATGTTTCGTGAGGACTAGGGATGCAACTTGTAATGTCTTGTAAAATACTTTCAACAAAGCTTAACACAGATAGTACATTAAAAATATGTTGATGCTAGAGCTGGAGTAAAAACTTTTTGCCAAATCAATACTCACTTTTTAACTCTGTTAAAAAGAAACAATTTTAAAATGAAGCATCGCTTGATCTCTAGTAATTTATCATAATTCATGATTTAAGTGATCAATCTATTCATTCTTTCCATTCAATTGTCAATTTTAAAGTCTCTTTCCCTTAGGTGTTGTATCTCAGTTGACCTTTTTTATTATCCATTTTGTGTGCTTTACTGTGAATCGTCAGCTGTAATTGTAATAATTATTTTACACTCTCTTTTTTTCCTATCAAATATTTCTTTTTCTTTTTCTACATGTATCTGTATAAAGAGTACCAGTACATTGTTTACCGGTAATTTAATTCAAACACAACTTAAATCCCCCTCCTGACCACCTCTCTCTCTCTCTCTCCTTTTCTCTCTCTCTCTCTCTCTCTCCTTTTCTCTCTCTCTCTCTCTCTCTCTCTCTCTTTTTTTCTCTCTCTCTCTCTCTCTCTCTCTCTCTCCTTTTCTCTCTCTCTTTCTCTTTCTCTCTCTCTCTCCTTTCTCTCTCTCTCTCTCTCCCCTATTTTTCTCTCTCTCCCTTTTTCTCTCTCATTTCATTCTCTCTTGCTTTCTCTTTCTCTCTCGCTTTCTCTTTCTCTTTCTCTCTCTCTCTCTTTCTCCCCCCCCCCCCCCCCTCTCTCTCTCTCTGACACAGAATCTCCTTTTTCTCATTATCAACCATTGAATTAGTTAATCATGAAACAAAAAGCTGAGAAGTAATAAAATATTTCTTTCAAAACCACTCCCTTCCTCGGCAATCACAAGCAATCAAAGCAAAACAATTTCATCCTATTATCCTATCTTGTTAGTGGTTAGGCTGTACAGACTTTCACACATTAACCTATTAATTACTGACCCGTCTCCGATTAATCCACCAAACAGTGAGCAATGATCTTCCTCCACACAAAGGATGCTCTGGAATCCAGAAGCATGTTAACTTGGTGCTCCACTAAATGGCTCTCAGCAAACGATGATTTGATCCCAACAACTCAGCGTAGCAAAATGTTGAAATCTATCATTTATATGCATATCAATATCTTGGTAAGACTTGGCAGATACCAAGGCTACATACAGTGTACTTACACAACATCATCATTATCATGAAAGTAAATGACTAGGTCATATCTTTGTGTTATCTTGGATAACTCTACATGGCTTTACAAATAACTTTTTATGTAGCAAGCACAACTTAAATTTATTTACTGGAAAAGGGGAGGTTGCTTCTGACCCCCCACCCCCCCTCCCCCCACTTGCTCCAAAGGAATTGAATCTGCCATTATGTGTGTATGGATATGGGTAAAACAATTCACCTGTTTCACAAGATACCCTATCTCTCCTTAGATGATACCCTGTCTCACAGTTACAGATAGCCTGGTTGGTAGGTGCATAGATAATCTAATCCTAATCTTATTTGATATTACTCTTAATGTTAATATTAATCTTAATCTTACCTGGTTCACAAGATATCCTATCTCTCCTCAGATGATAACCAGTCTCACAGTCACAGATTGCTACATGTAGGTTGGTATATGCGTAGATAATCTAATCTTAATCTTAATCTCAATCTCATCTAAATCTAAATCTTAATCTTAATCTAAATCTTAATCTTAATCTTAATCTAATCCAAATCTAAATCTTAATCTTACCTGGTTCACATGATATCCTATCTCTCCTTAGATGATACCCTGTCTCACAGTTACAGATAGCTTGATTGGTATGTGCATAGATACAGATCTGCTCACAGCCTCCATTGAACACTTGACATGGATCAATATCTATTAAAAAAAAAGATAGAAGTCGAACTGAGTGATAAAAAGACCAAAATAAAAATTAAAAAACTATACAAAGCAATATCTTTGATACTGAAACGAATTGAAATGTTAAGATATATTAACAGGAAGAACCACATGTCAAAGATTTGGGAATAGATTTCCCTTAAGTTTATTTCATTTTAAAGTCTTCCCTTCTTGGTGTACAGTTTTTGTCACAAAATGAAATAAATTTCTGAACGAACCATTCCAGTTTAACCTTAAAAGTTCAAGAGGAATAGGGTCTGATTTAAATAAGAATAAATTCCAATAATAAATAAATTCTATCCCAATTTGAATTTCTGGACAACCATGATTTAATTTGATTAATGTAAGAAATTCTGCTCAAAAGAAAAAAAAATGACAAGGTCAATCAGATAGAGAAGAATGGGCTCAGGATTTCTCTAGAGGGCGCTGTACAGTTTCACAGGGGGAGCTGATCGAAGGAAGGCCAACCTTTCTGCTAGTCCCATGTAAATTGTATTCCATGGTATATCATATGCAAGCATTTCTATTTTATGATACTGATATAACCTCTACCACTGGACACACGTGGTTGATAACATATCGCAGCCAAAGAGAGAGGGAGAGAGAGAGGGAGAGGGAGAGAGAGAGGGAGAGAGAGAGGGAGAGAGAGAGGGAAAGAAAGAAAGCAGGAGAAGGAATAGGTCAACCAATCTCATGTATCTGAAGTAGAGTACGATATTCAAACCATAAAACACTCCTGCTACTATGAATGAAATTGAGTATCTACTGGTATGATCCAATCATCACTTATATTACACCGCTACCACCACCACAACCATTACTACTACTAACCTCCAATAACTCTTCTGCCACTATGAATCAAATGAACATCTACAGGTATGATCCAATCTCCACTGAATGCGACCCGTTTCTCTCCGTTGTTCCGATCCAGGGCTAAGACCTCCCGTTGTTCAGAGTCTGTAGACCACATCAGCCCACCGTACAGGGCTAGACCAAATGGGTGCTGAAGTTCTGTGAGTAGGCAAAGAAGAACAGGGTCATAATAAAAAAATCTGTTTTACTCTCATTTCTTTGCAATCATTATCAAAATGTTTATCCTGCCACTAGTTCAGAGTATGCTTCCTCAATAACAAAGTCGATATCTTTATATCAGTTGTGTCTAATTAATGAAATAAAATAGCACTTTAAACACACTTGTAATTAATTAATGAATAAATAATCTAACTCATCTGTACAAATTAAGCCTTTTAACCACTTATGAATTATACATAACATGGTTTGCATAACAAAGTGGCTTCTTGAAATTTGCTCTTGAATCGGAAATAAGCTTGTAATGTAAAGAGTCTACTGCATTTCTTCATATGTCTAACCCATATCTTTCTTTCCCACAAATAATAAAGATCATAGTACCTTAATAATAATAATAATAATAATCTTGTTTACCCAGGGTAGCCTCATCAGTATTCATACTGTTCTCCCTGAGGGTCTTGCAATCATATTATTACCCCAGCTTTTAATATAGTCAGAGGACTTTTATTTTCCTTTTTTAGAAATCAGACCTCTGGAGAATGTGGATCATTTAATGGACAAGTGATCTCTGTGACAGACTTACCCCCTCTATTGATGACCCTATGGTTAGTCCCATCCAAGTCAGCTTCATTGATAGTATTGAGACCAGCATCAATCCATAGAACCTTGTTATGTGTGTAGTCTATGGCTAGCTTGGTAGGACGTACAGGGGAGGCTGCTACCGTCACCCTGTTACTCCCATCATGCCTTGCAGCCTCGATCTTAGGGGATTCCCCCCATGAACTCCAGTAAATGATGCTAAGGAAGAGAAATAAATGTTAACTCATTACACTGACGTTTTCCAACAAGTTCATAGTAATGTGATATAATTAAAGCTTTTGGTTCTATAATCAAGTTAGGGGTTGAAGTTCATAAGGCTAATTGCCCTTTTCGTTAACCCCGCATCCCCATAAAATTTTGTTTGCTTCTTCCCTTTGTATTTTTCTTGTAATTGATCTTTTATCTGTATATCATATTTGTATGTTTAATGTTTTTTATGCAGAATGAAATTAATTATTTCACAACTATAATCAGAGTAAAGCTATCAAATATTGTATAGAGAAAGATACATGAAGTAGAAAAAAAAAGGGTCAAAATTCCATATCTACTTCTAGAAATGAGATATTAAAAAATTCTACTTACTTCAAAGCAGGGTGAACAGCGATACCATGTGGTTCATCCAACTCTGACATGAGTACAGTGTGTCTGCTACCCGGGTAAAGGCTCTGAGTAGCTATGTAGCTCCCACTGAAAAGAAGCATAATGACAACACATCTGGTTTAAACATGGGATGTTTGACAAACTGACTTTATTGCAGGTACATGTACTAGAATACAAGAAAGCTTAAGCATGCATTACCAGAAATGAAGGTGAACTCAAGGAAATCCCATTAACATCAAGTAATCACTGGTTTCTTCTGTAACTTGATCTGAACAGTTCATTCTGGGCATTTTTATTAAGAGTGCTCTCATTTGCAAATATAAGAGTGGTCACATTCGCAAGGAGTTTAAATCACAAATATACCTTTCCAATGTAATATTATCTGCAGATAGTACGGTCCTAATATCGATCTAGGATATCACAGATTGTGTAATCTCACATACACAGATAGAGATCCTACCATCTCTCAAACACACCCCACATAAGGATTACCCATTAAAAGCCTGTTAAGTTCCTGGTAAAGTGTCCATCAGGTAGATAAATGGTAGACTGTCACGCTTAGAGACTTAGGTGGTAAGCGCTTTATAAGCACCATTCTATTTATTATTATTATTATTATTATTTATTGAAGTTACAAAATATATACTCACACAGAATCAACCCAATACAGTCTCCTATGCATCCAATCAATAGCCAAGCCCTCCACCGAGTCCACGCCCCTCGTCGACACCACCTCCAGGCCACGCCCATCGGTACCGACCCTCTCTATCACACCCCTCCCATGATCTGCAAAGTAGACCATCTTCTCCAGGGGGTCAAACTCAATGGTGGAGATGTTGTTAAGACCGGCCTTGGCGATGGTCATGTGACCAGACCCATCTGCATAGATGCGGTGGATGCTGGTGGTGTTGGCATAGATGAGGTAGGAGCGTGAGGGGTCAGGAGTCAGGTCAGGGAGGTCAATCTGACAGTCACTGTGTGTGCTACAGTTGAATGAACCTGTGAAATATAAAGGATTTAATGCTTATGTATGAAAGCCATTTATATCTCTCAATGTGAGGAGATGATGAGACCATCAATGTTAATAATCTTGATTTTGGGAATAGATCTCATATCCGCAAAGCCATCATGCCTACATACGACTTTTAAAGTCTTACATTACATTTGCTTTACCTAAGCTTCTATTACAGCACTCCAAGTATCAAAGGAATCATTTCCTACCAGGCTTCTATTAATTACAACTCAGCAGAGAGAGGCAATTTGTGGTAAAACAATTCATTCTTAACAAATTCTAGGTCCCCAACGGGGAGGACAATACAGGTGACAGCTATAGACAGGTAGCCTTTATAAAGAGGTGGTCATGTTTGCCTATTATTTCTTACCTGCTACATCATACGATGGTTGTGTAGACGGATGGTTGATACACACAGCTTTAGGACTGCTCTCAATGAAGATACTCCAATCCACTCTCGACTCTTTATCTCCATACTTCACGATGCTGTGAATACTGCTTTCTACAGAGTCTGCCCAGTATACCTTCTGCTCAAAAATTGCTAAACCAAATGCATTAGGGCTGTAAAACAAAACAAAAGAGTCAGGCGAAGATATGTTTCGTATGAATTGACTAACATTGGAAAGCTAAACCTGTATAGGGCCTACACAAAAAAAATGTTTTATTGCCCTTTAGGTGCTAAAACATGGGTCAGTTAGTCAGAAATCTTTCTTTAAAAAAAAATATTAAAAAAAAAAAAATCAAAAAAAAAAATTCTCCCTCTTTGCACTGATATTTCTCAGTTTTGAAGGCTTTAATACATTTTGTTATCTAAAAAAGCCAACCGTAGATTTCAAGATTTTGGGGTAGGTCGCAAAGGCCAATACAACATCTTTTTGTTTTAACGCCTAGTGTAGTCCCCTTTGTAAAGAATTCAAATATGAATCCTATATCATTTATCATCTTTGATGAAAATTAACATGATTGCATCACCCATGATGAGAGAGATCTATGAATTTTAAAAAAGCGTTTTCAAAGGTGTATAAATGGAAGCTTATGCAATACCTGTTGTGAAAACAATTTTCACTTTGACAAGGTAAGCAATGAGTACTTTGGATACAATATTAGTAAAGAGTGTATAAATATGACAGAGTCTGTGGAATCACAGTCATGCCAGTAACATTCTATGGAAGCATAGTGATACTGAAGTATTCAACATTACTATCTATATAAGGCTTTTAAGTGGTGCAATGAATCAGTGTATTTAATATCTTTAGTGCAGTACCCGGATAACTTCAACTGTCGATACAATTCTGCTTTACTGAGGTGAATCAAATTTTGTTATTTCGCTAGTCAGCCTGATATAGATAACAATAATAATATTGTCTCGTTATGACGATATTGGACTCATCTTCGACTCGTCCAATATTGACATAGCTCAATTAATATAGTCTTGTATCACACTCAAAGTCATCCAATTTTATATAAATATTTTTGAAATTTACCTGATTTTCTCCATGATTGTGTTTCTCTTCTTGCCTAAATAGTTAACTGATTCTATCCTTCGTTTCCCAATGTCCAACCAGAAGACTCTCTTATCGATCACATCCACAGCGAGATTACGGATCACCTTCAGATCATTCTTAGACACTCGCTTGGTGTGCTTGCCATTGGTCGATATCCTCTCTAACTTGTCTGCTTTACCTGATGCACTCCAGAATATAAAGCTGAGAGTGAGAGAGACAATCAAAGTGGTTTTTACAAAGGTTTGCTTTTAAACATGTTTCAGATTACAGAGAACATATGACATTTCAATTTCATGACATACTACCTTTGATTCTTTTACTTTGATACTATAGAAAGTGTTATTGCACACATTCATATAAAAAGCAGATGCAGGCTGTTTGTTTGGTGAATATCTGTCATTACCGTCCACAGAGTTCTACAGATTTGTTGAGGGAAAGAATCCAGAACATTTATTTAAACTTGAAACAAGTTATTGGTATGCAATGTTCAAATGTTAAACTTGTTGGAGTATAACAGCCTAAATTATCTTGGGCTTGGTATTCAGCAGATTAATAGATTGAAAATTCCTCAACTAATAAGCTCCTGTAAACATGTGGTAAATGTTTTAGTTTTTAAAACTTTTAAAACTTTTTAAGTTTGGATATTTTAAAACCCTTAGTTCTTGGCCAAATTCTTTCGAAATGACAATAATTACACCAACTCATCCTTTAAAATAGTCTCCTTTTACTAAAGACAATCTCCCTGTGTGATCCATTAATTTCACACCTCTAAATCTTTTTCAAAAAGGTCTTTCAAACAGATTGATTCCATCAACTCACCCTTCGAACGGGTCTAAGGCAATGGCTCTTGGTCTTCTTTTACCGGTACTGAAGACGACCTCCCTGTTTGAACCGTTTAGATCACATCTCTCAATCTGTTTGAGTCTGTAGTCAGTCCAGTAGATCTTATTATGAACCCAGTCTACAGCTAGGCTCTCTGGCGTGTGCATATGTCTGGATACTATATGCTGGGAGGAAGAAAAGGAGACAATAATGAAGCAAAATATAAATATCCAGGCATTCGTATATGGAGTTTAATAACATAAAATCAGTCTGAACATACCAGCACTTCATTTCTTTGCTTTTTTTAAAAGTAGTTTGGTTTTAAGAACATAATTCTTGAAGGTATCACTTGATATAGTCTATGAAGTATAACAATAACTAATTTGCAGAGATAATGAGATTTTCATCGTACTTAAAGGGATAAAGTCAACTTTCTTATCATTAGGTATATTCCTTGAATAATCATAAAATTCATACCATCAGTACCGCTTTTGACCTGATGCTCATCAAGTTAGAATAGCTTACAGCATACATATAGCATGGTAATTTAAAGGTGCACAATTAATTATTATACATTTCTGTGGATTATTATATTTCAAAAATGGCACAACTGGTCATTTCGATTGGCTCATATACCCAAGGAGTATACTGTACAGCACTTTGTGTAACTGAACAGGTAATGGACTTCCCAAATTCTTTGTAGTTATATTAGACAAGATATCCTAGATACGCCTTTGTGAATTACCCTTTCAGTTTGTATTTGTACATGTATGTGTTTTTTTCTGGATAAACCCTTGTAATACTACTGGCAGAACATATCAAAGGTGTTCTGGTATTTTAGTAGCAATATGATTAATAATCGTCTGTATTAAAGTATATGAGTTAAAGCCCTCTTGGATCCAAACAGATACCATCTTACTTGAATCTCTCCACCATCAAGCGGCATCCTTTCAATCCTGTTGGTACTCCGATCAATCCAGAACATCATCCTCTCTCTATGATGGATGTCTAATGAGAGGACAGTGTCCAGGTTGGTTGCAATCTGTTGCCCTGGTAACGCATTCTGGATGTCTGCTTCTGATATGGTGTCTCTGTGGCTGTAGAGGATCTTTGGTTCTTGTCCTGTAGCAAATATAAAAGGTTAACCTTCACTAGTTAAAGGAAAACATGTATGCAGCAAATATTGAGGCAAGATTTGTTTTTGTCTCGTGTAATTGTTTATTTTTTATTGTCTGTCATGTTTTTTTATTACGTTTTTTTTCTTCAAATTAAGTTATACATGTATAAAGTTTAATTATTAATGTGCGAACCTACACCTAACAAGGATTGCTTTCAAGTAGGTTTGTTTTTTTCATTTCCTGTAACCAAATCATTTTGCATTATTTACAACGACCAAAAACAATGTCAAAGATATTTTCAGTGCTCACTTCTGTTATATCATTACGTTTTTTATTGTTTGTCATTGTTTATATTATGTGAAAAAGAAATGAAAAATAAATTCGCTCTGTATAGAGCTACTACTAGAACTACTATTATCCTCACTAATTATAAGGCAAAAATCTTCTTCTTTTTCAAAAGCATTTTCAAAAAGCCAAGAATCATTCTTGATGAATGATGGTTTATTCCAATTCAGATAAAGTAAATCAAGCTTCCATTACTTTTTTTTTTCTTTATAATTAAACTAATGGTCATCATCATTGTTATCATCTGCATTTTCATCCTTTTCATTGTCGTGCATCATTATCATCATCAGCATATTTATCAACATCCTCCTACTCCTCCGCATCATCATCATCATCATCATTGATCATAATCTCTATTATCATCATTATCATCATCATCATCACCATCGTTATCATCATCATCACCACCATCATCATCATCATCATCATCATCATCATCATCATCATCATCATCATCATCATCATCATCATCATCATCATCATCATCATCAGCAGCAGCAGCATCATCATCATCATCATCATCATCATCACCACCACCACCACCACCACCACCACCACCACCACCACCACCACCACCACCACCACCATCATTGTCATTCATTTCAATGTAACATTATCATGATTGGGAGAATTATACAAACCTCCAGCAGAACAGGACCAATCGTCTGCTCCAATGGCATACCCCGGCAGACATGAGCAGTGGTAAGACCCGAGAGTATTGACACAGAGCTGTCCGCATTGGGATACTCCTCCAACTTGGCATTCATTGACATCTGAAAGAAATCAGAATAACACGACATATTATTGAACATGTGGGACTGAACAAACAATATCAGCATCATGTCTATAATATTCTTCATGCTTTTATCTTCGTCCGGAATTCAAGTCAAGTGTCTATATATTTAGGAACAAGTCAAAATGTTTTATTTCGAATGATCACGTTTAACAATATTACCAAGTCTTCAGCAACAAACAATGATCTATCAACAGCAAAATCATCTATTTTTGTTTCGGACGTCGTCTGCAAATAATTACACTATAATGTTTATTGTTACTGAGGGCAGCAAACACAAAGTCTAACTCAAAGACGTCGACCATCCTGACCTGAATCATGGAGTTACATGCAGGGTGTGTAGACCATGAATATTTGAACATTGTACAAAGAGGAGGAATTATCAATATTTTGAAGTGAAGATGCAGTTTTATGAGGGAATCAAAAGGAGGGTAGAGGAGGAGTCGCTTGACCATCTTGAAGGTGAGGGACAAAAAATGGTCAACAAGTTAGCCGAATATTTGTTCAACAAACTATACTCCTCCGGACAGGCGCGCCGGAAGCAGTTTGGGATTGGGGGGGCAAACATTCCAGGGGGCTCACCTTCCGAGGGCAGTGACGTAATGAGAAAAAACGTTCGGAAGGGGGGGGGGGGCAGACGAAAAATCTGCATCACCACCAGTCTTACACGTTACATGCAGGTCCCGCGGAACGTTTTTCAAAGTGAAGTATTAACGATCAGGTAGAGCGTAAATTGGCGTGGGGTCCAGCCTCGGCAGGGTGTCAAGGGGCTGAGCCCCCGGAAGCTCAGGGATTTTAGGTATTTAATTACGGTTAGATGAGCATCCAGGGGCCTCTTTAAGGCCATTGACGTGTTCCAGAGGGGGGGGGGCCCCAGAAGCTCAGAGGTTTTAATATTTGACTACGGTCAGATGAGCAACCAGGGGCCGCCCTAGGGCACTTGGTGGGGTCCAGGGGGCAGGGCCCCCGGAAGCTCAGGGGTTTTAGGTATTGAATAATGGTCAGATGAGCATCCAGGGGCCCGCCTTATAGGGCCCTTGGTGGGGTCCAGGGGGCAGAGCCCCCGGAAGCTCAGGGGTTTTAGGTATTTAATAATGGTCAGATGAGCATCCAGGGGCCCGCCTTATAGGGCCCTTGGTGGGGTCCAGGGGGCAGAGCCCCCGGAAGCTCAGGGGTTTTAGGTATTTAATTACGGTCAGATGAGCATCCAGGGGCCCGCCTTAGAGCCCTTGGTGGGGTCCAGGGGGCAGAGCCCCCGGAAGCTCAGGGGTTTTAGGTATTTAATTACGGTCAGATGAGCATCCAGGGGCCCGCCTTAGGGCCCTTGGTGGGGTCCGGGGGCGGAGCACCCGTAAGCTCTGGGGATTTAGGCATCTAATTACGGTCAGATGAGCATTTTTTTATGCCTTATTTGTGACATTGGCAGGTCACTTATTTTTTCTCTCCGTCTTTCTTTCTTTTTCTCTTTAACATACTTTTTCAAAAAGTGAGGGGGGAGGGGCTCGAGCCCAGCCACTTTGCAGACCATGTCATAAAGGCTTCTAAATAAGCGTATTTTTCGCCCGACTGTAATTTGGGAATTTCTTATTTTCCAACAAACGCATAAAAAGGTATGACTTTAAAAAAAATGGAGAAAAAATACCGGAAAATCATGTCATAATAGCAACATGTGTAAATCACTGGTATCGTATAGATATACCCCCCCCCCCCCCATCAGTACGCCAGCGTTCAGGGGCTCATGTCTTCTCACCCCTATAACAAAACCAAAAAAAACAGACACGTTTTCCCATTCTCGCACAATATGTCCACGATATGCGCGTATCGCTATTATAAACCGTATAGGTAGCATGCGCAATGTTTATAAAAATTTAATTCCTGTGAACTTTCCTTTTCTTTGAATGGAATGGTATATGTGCTTTAATTCAGGTTTTTATTATTGTTATGTTCTTTTGGGTTAAAAATACAAACCATGTTTATTCCTTTACTGCTTTTTTTTGTTTTTTTTGGAGGGGGGGGGCGTTTTGGGGGGGCAAAAATGCGTTTTGCCCCCCCACTTTTTTGACTGGGGGGGCAACTGCCCCCCCTGCCCCCCCACTTCCGGCGCCTATGCCTCCGGATAGCAACCCGAGATTCAGTTCAGTTCAGTTCATTAAAAAATACCAGACAAAGCAATCATGACGAACAAACATGATCCAAATTGGGAGTGGGACCCCAAAAAGCTTTGCTTGTGAGTGGGGCCGGGCGCTGAAATATGATTTAGAACTGATTGGTATATCACCACCAGCCCCGCCCCCCTCTCTCTCTCTCTCTCTCTCTCTCTCTCCCCCTCTCTCTCTCTCCCTCTCTCTCTCTCCCTCTCTCTCTCTCTCTTAGTGTGACGCCCCTAGGTTGGAGGGAGGACAATTTTTTAGAACCACAGTTACCTCTACATCCAAGACCCTTTTCTCGTTTGAATCCTGGAGGACACGTGACCTGGTAGCCACCTTTCCCTCTCCCTCGACCCCTTCCTCGACCAGCTATCGATGGAGAGACTAACACCTGTAACACTGGAGTAAGATAAGAGGAGGGATAAAAGAAAATTAAAAAGTTTATTGCCATCCAAATAATAATCAATATCAATTAAAATATAGGTGCCAACACACACGTATCAATTTTATTGATTTTGAATCATTAAGTATATTGCCGAAATGTCACCAACACTGACACCGATGCTTCTTCATTATCTTCATCATTTATCATCACCATCATCATCATCATCATCATCATCATCATCATCATCATCATCATCCCTCATCATCATCATCTTCATCACCATCACCATCATTATCACCATCATCATCATCATCATCATCATCATCATTTCTGTCAATTACCATCATCAATGTCATCACTTGCATCGTTGTCTTTATAGTCCTTTTATTCTCATTGGTCGTCACTCTTATTAATATTGTTTTTTTTTTTTATCTCTCCCCTCTCCTTTTTTTTTGTTCGTTAAACCTCTCCTTTCACTTCAACCGTACTTCCAATGACTAACCTGTTCTCATTGAGTCATTAAAGTCACCTTCATTCTTAAAAAGACAAGAAAGAATGATACATTCAGTCCCTTCCTTGACAGCAATCATACATTTCCTAAACATTATTTTAAGAATTACGTCCATTTAATGACTAAGATTCATGAAGGACATACTTACCCTGCATGTACTAATTTCATTGATAAGATATTAAGTTCACTTAAATGAAAGACTTGTATGAATTGTTTGTTACAGTGATTATAAGAAAGTGGAGGATCGTTCATCTTTCCTGCAAGCCAGGGGGTCCGATTACGCCGCGCTGCTCATTCACTGTAACCGTCAGTCTTCATTAACCCATTCAACTTTTTCGTGACCATTACATCCTTTTTTGTTCGACTTTCAATGAGCTGTTGAGTACAGAGGGACAGTGGTGTATATATGTGCTGGGGGAATGGGGGCACGTGGCCCCTACCCCCCCCCCCCAACCCGTTTTCGAGTGGTGGATCGGGAAGAAACAGTGATACAAGAGAGAAAGGAGAAGGAGAAGGGGAAGGATGGGAGAAGAAGACCCTTGGACCCCTCCCACACATCCTACCCCCGGACAAAACAATCGAGAAATAAAACACTAGCCCTGTAATTCGCATTTAATGTTCCGACCCCCCCCCCCTCCCTCCCACATCAATCCAGAGCCCCCTTCAATGGATATACTCACACTATGCCACTGCATAGGGATACCATCACGACCATGAATCATACAGAAATGGGTCAGATGGATTAATGACAAGAAAACACAAATGGCCATCAATCATACAGGCTTCTGAAATCACTTGCTTTCTGACTTAGTTCTTCTGAAATTACTTGCTTTCTGACTTAGTTCTTCTGAAATCACTTGCTTTCTGACTTAGTTCTTCTGAAATCATTCGCTTTCTGACTTAGGTCTTCTGAAATCACTTGCTTTCTGACTTAGTTCTTCTGAAATCATTTGCTTTCTGACTTAGTTCTTCTGAAATCATTTGCTTTCTGACTTAGTTCTTCTGAAATCATTTGCTTTCTGACTTAGGTCTTCTGAAATCACTTGCTTTCTGACTTAGTTCTTCTGAAATTACTTGCTTTCTGACTTAGTTCTTCTGAAGTCTTGCTTTCTGACTTAGTTCTTCTGAAATCACTTGCTTTCTGAGCAAGCAGATACAACAGAGAAATCAATCAATATATTTCAACACAGCCAGCAAAGACAGCTAACATCACACAACTTAGTGTAAGAAAAAGGAATGAATAATTGCTAAATGTAGTGCGTAAGCCTACACATTGTTTTATTTATATTTTCACATAATCTATGTTCTGCGTCTTGTTTCTATTCTCGTAAATAATATTTAAAAGTTATGTATTATGGATGATGATGATGATAATGAGGATGAGGATGATGATGATGATGATGATGATGATGATGATGATGATGAGGATGATGATGATGATGATGATGAGGAGGATGATGATGAGGATGATGATGGTGATGATGATGATGATGATGATGATGATGAAGATGATGATGAGGATGATGAAGATGATGATGAGGATGATGATGGTGATGATGATGATGATGATGGTGATGATGATGATGATGATGATCCACAACAATGGTATGGCGCCATTTATATGTTTCAAACATTCAAAGGCGCCCGCTCCTCCAATAGTTATGGACTACATAATCATTTGCTTGAAAAGATTGGTTTGAGAAAGTAAAGACAGATAAATATTTTTAACGGCAAATAGGCTGATTGCTATATGTTCGATAATCATCATCAAATGTAATTTATTGCGAATAATAATTTGATGATTATTCATAAATCTCCCGTGCATTAAAGGCATCGTTTAACAATGTTAAAACTGAGATGCATGGCCCTACGTGTAATCAGTGTCTATTGAACCCCTACAAAAATTGGGCTTCAAAATGATCATGAAGTGCCTCAAAAAATTAAAATCTTTGAGTGACCGGTTTTACCATACTCATTTTCCCCAATAAAGTTTTTATCAAACGTTAAGAAAACGAAGAATGAAATTTCGATTTCCAATCTTAAATATCTTGATATAAATCAGACAGGCGATCGGCTCGTAAAAGTCATGGGATTCCTGACTGACCTTAAAGTTTATAATTATGATTGCAGCATGAGCTAAATCTAGGATTTTGTTTCAGAATCGGAGGCAATGTTACCGAGTCACTTTAAACACTAGTATGAATGTTTTTGTTTTACTTCTACCTTGATAGCCTGTCCGCAAAGGAAGGCCCTTATTGACAGAGGTAAACCAACTATCAGCTGATTTACAGGTTGAGTTGCTTCCACCCCTAAAAAGGGAAAGTAGTCTGAGAGAAGAAATGTCATTGACTTTGGCCTTTGCTGTCTACCATCCCGTTCACATTAACCTCGCTGATTCACACTAGGTTCTCTTTTCCCTCAATTTCAGTCGTTTTCGGAAATTCTTTTCATACTATGGTCCCTCGTGACAAAGAGAACGCAAGACAATTTTAAAACAATCTCTGTGTGGTCACAAATACCAGAATCATAAAGAGTACACGTTCTGACATACTGTATAAAGAAAAAAATGTTCGAAACACAACACTCGCAGACACAAACACTTCTCATCTTTAACGTTTAAAACTTTAAATCCTTAATTGCGAATTAAATTCAATTTAAGACAGTCTAATGGCTGCTATTTTAAATGCTTAAACAAAATATATCGAATTAAACTAATCAAATAAAAACAATGCTGTTTCTCTCCACTCCAACAAGTCCTTATAATTTGTTTTCGAATCATCTGCATTGAGGTGAGCCGCTTGCTGTATCAACAAGCTTCAGTATGTTTTTAAATATTTTTTAGGCTCTCTTACGAGCAATGTACACAATAGTTTTCAAAATCACCGTACTTGTAGATATTTAAGCCGGGTAAAACTTATCGATAAAACTTTGCACGAATGTTCCGAGCAATGTGAGCATAGCATCTCGAAGGATATCGGAAGTCAAGAGGAAATCTCTCGATTTGATCTTTCGTCCATGCCCTACTAACACCATAACCGCTCAAAGTAAACATTGAACTTCCGAAAGGAATTATGAAAATATGTTTATAGGAATTATGACAGAATCCTGGAGTCTCAACCTTACTTAGAAGGCGAAAGACACCAACACGCATGTGTGCGTTACTGATTTTAATGCAGCATTATTAAGCTAAGACTTTTACATCAATACAGACTTTTGTTCTCCAGAGTCCCGACTCACGAGAGAAATATAGTTCAAGCATTATAACCTGAATATTATTTGTAGGTTGTCTAATCACACCTGTTGTGATTTTATTTCGGTATAAAAGAAGATATAAAACAGAATCAGGGTCAGATATTTAATGGCGCGCAACGAGATTTTACACCTTATTACCAGCCGTCCGGAGGAGGCGGATACAACCTGCTTTTTAACAAGTTCAAATGCACCCATTTCTTCTATATTTATCATCGCAAGATAAGGATAGCACATCTATATCTACGGTACTCTCTCTCTCTGGTCTATCGGAGGTATAGTGGCAGGAAAACAATTATCTTCGTTTACTTTAATGACTCACTGCCACACTTTGGGTTGTATGCATGGTACGTAATTACATCGGAATACATTTCTCGACTTTCCACTTCAGAATTATGCAAATTTCTGACCTCCCCTGGATGTGCACAAATCCATGTAAACCTCAGACATGTCAGATCTCAAATTAAAATTCAATAGCCAGAAAAGCGGGAAGACCAATTTTTGTTGAATGGGTTAACTTAATTGCTGAAAGGTTGATACTACTCTCAAAGAGACGTCTGTTGATAAAATATTATCGTTATGAATAAGTTAATGCCTTTTGCAAATAAACCTTTTCGTGCAGTCGGCATCCCACTTAGATCAATACAGGTTTGGGAAAATGACATCATGCTATATTGATACCCAGCCTTCCCTAGCATCCCTTCTGAAAGGACAGGTTGCTTTCTACATCAAGAGGTCAATGACCAAAAAAAGAAAATTAAATCACAGTCAACACGGTCTTGTTATTATCAAGGACCTGGAAAACCCTTATTAGAACTTATCCTGAAATATCCTGCCTGAAAAAGACTTTATTCGAGACAGAAATAATCGTTTCTAAAATGTGGAAGTAGGAAAAATTAATTTCGTGCGGAAGTTTGTCCTTCTTGTCTTATGGGGAAAATGTTTCGGTTGCTACAAATTTACAATGATTAATAAATAGCTTGTGGATTTGTTTGTAATCGCCTCACTTCCACCCCTGTCCCCTTCATTCCTATGAAGCCCCTCTCCCCCTCCCACCCCCCCCCAAAAAAGAACCCTACTTGCAAGACTTGGTTGCCAAAATACATTCCATAATAGTCTACAGAAGGGTTCCGCCCCCATTTGTCAGATTTCACCAGCCCCCTCCCCATGCAAATTTCCGAGTTACAATTCTGAACCGGCATGCATGGCCGGATCCAGGATTATGAAGAAGACAAAAATAGGAGGGGCACAAGT